ATGTTACACCAAATACTTCTGAAATTAGTACAAGCAGCTATTCATTAAACAATAAACGTTGAAAATCAAATCTAATTGTTGAGTTTGGCTCAAAGGTTGCAGATTCATTCTCGGCAGATCAAACTGAAGAGTTCAAACCACCTGCTTCAAACTGCTGTAATCATCAGTCAGCAGAGATGTGTTATGGGTATGTGATGTACCGGCCTTCAGAAAGAACCAGTCTCATCCCTGTTTTGTTCTTCGAGTCATTCTGTGAGAGCAGCTGCTGTTCTCATGTGTGGAATATCTAATTTTAGAACAAAAGGGCCCCTGTCCTTCAATTAAACTGCATGACTGGGCAGTTTTCTTGTCTACTCTTCTTAGTTTCAAAGGACAAAAGGCACTTGGGCGAGTCTTTCATGGGTAACATCATCCTAAAAAAAGACAGATCTGGGTTCTGGTATCAAATGGAGAAATGGGCATGTATTCTTTGAGCATGAACATACAAACATCTAGAAGTTCTTTTAGAGCTAGAACTGTTAACTGTTAATGAACGTTTCTGCATTAAAATGGATTTAATGACTATCATGTGACTGGGCAGCTCATGGTGATGGACCTACTGAGAATGGTCACCCGCTCTCCCCTGAGCCACCGCCACCCTGAGGTCATTGTATGTTGAAGATACACATAGCTGTTCTTTGTCTTCCTTATTTCAGAATTGAATTTAAAAAGTGTTTTGAATTACACATTTTTCCACACTGCAGTCAGACCTACAGTAACTGAGTCTCTGTTTGCGGTTTTGTTTTTGCCTAACAGTTTATTTTCCTTGTGACATCCCACAGCTCCCCTGTTCTTCAATCCAGTCGTTCTGACAGACAGAAAAACCTCATTTAGCCTGAAAAAAAATTCACGCTACATTGCTCATGCATAATGTGTGCATCTGCCAGTCTAAATTAGGAAATAAAGCCAAGGGAGGAAATTGAGTCTATTGTTGTGACTTACCTCATTAATGAAGAGAGGCAGCTCAGCTCGGCTGAGAAAATGATACCGAATGGAAAGATCTGTTGATATTATTTATCTTGATCTACAGTTAAATGTTTAAAGCAACAGTTATTTTCACAGTTTTCAAGAGGTGAAGCATTGGTTTACATTTCATAAAGTCATATGAAAACTGAATTAATTGCACAATACATTCAAGATACCAAACCTCTTTACCTGTGTAAACTGATGTGGCCTTCACTGTACGATGTCCTCCAGTGTGTTGTGCTGGTGTCTCTGGTGTAACGTGTCACTGGATCCAGTTACACTGCAGACACGAGGCAGGTTTGCTCTGCTGCGTGTTATGAAATCTGCACGATCGAGTCTACACCAGTCGACTCGTGGAGTAAAATATGTGCCAGTTCAAAGTGTTTTCTCTCTGACTGGCCTGCAGTAAGTTGTTGCACATGGAGGCTCATTCTTGTTCCATTACACAACTGACAAAGTCCAACACAGGATTTCTTTGGAGTTTTTATAAGGCACAGAATAAGTTCCACCCTTAGATCTCTTGGTTGCATATGTCATATGTGTTGTAGTGTGTAACAGTGCTCTGAATCCGTCTGTAGGTAAACTGTGGTCCAGAAGTGTGAAGGTGGCCTACAACCTGCTGCACAAACTGGGAACCAAACAGGAGCCGCTTGTCAAACCCGGAGACCGGGTGAGTGAAATAAAACCAAGCAAACAGATGGAGAGTAACGACCTGTCCTCGAGCTCCAGGGTTGGACTCGACTTGGAGTAAGTCACAAATTTTGGCCTGCTGTGACACCTGATGACCGTTACAGCTTCGCAACCTAGTGTGTTGTAGAGGATCAGCAGCATTAGAGGGAGCTCACTGAGGTCTTCTGTCCCATGGGGGATGAAAAGCATTAAAACCTAAATCACTGAAAGAATATCACCACTTACATGGAATAATAATGTTAACAGATTTAATCTCTAGACACCCAAGGTTGCTTTACAGTACAATAATGCCAATTTCAATACAGTAGAAACAAAACATAATACAAATAATAAACCAACAATCAGTAATGAAATAAAAGAGGAGTAAGGACAACAATTAAATAGCTCTCAAACAGCAACTGGACATGAAGCTTCGTGTCAGGCTGAATGAATGTTGTGAAATGACATTCAGTCTCATGATGAGACTACAGCAACATAGGTTTTAAAACTGTGGACTTTAAAGGTGCTTTAAAGACATCTGTTTAAATCTGCTTTCACTTAGGTGCTGCGTGTGCCTGCGATTTGTTTCCACAAGTTGATATTTTTTATTTCCCAGTAACTAGTTAAAGATGTCATGGAGAGTTGGAGATGGCGATAAGGTTTTCCTCCATTTGGTGTAAAACTCCTTGTAGTGAAGCTGAGCAGTCTTTTGGTTTCTGGTGGGATCAAGATGATCATGATTGGCTCTCACCTGGCTGTGGCTCGCACTGTGTGAGGATGTTAACATAAACTTCAGCGTTCCTCAACTTTCCCCTGTGGTGTAGCTGGGCGCTCGTCAGGCTCCAGGGGGTCTGCAGGGCTGCAGAGCCAGGTCTCATTCACAATGAGTGGAAGCAGACACCTCAGAGATGTATCTCTCAAAACCTGAGCAAACAAAACTGAGCCACTGTGTCTGCGAGGCTAGATACCATTAAAACTGTTTATTTTTGTTTGTTCATTTGGCCCAGTGGACGTCCCCAGTCTGCAGGAGCGGCTGCACTCGTGGACGGCTGACGCCTCCCTCTGTTGGTTTTCTTTAGATCAAACCATCACAGAGAAGCTTGGCCCAAAAACTACCAGCAGTTTCTTGACGTCACCCCTCAGGATTTATGGTCCTTGGCGAAACCACACATCAAGCATTACTTAATACTTAACAAATTGACACACATGTTGTTCTTCCTTCTTTCTCTGTCATAATCATAACGTCTCGCTCGGGGCCTCTCTCTCCAGCGCTCCACATGCCTCCACACTTGAAGAGATGATCATACTGAAGTGGGTCAAGGTTCAGTGATGGTCCCACATGTCTGCTGACATGTGACGCCCCCGCTCTCTTTTAGTCCCTATTTCATCTTTATTTTAAGCTCAGTTTCCTGCTGGGCTAGAGACTGGCACAGTGCCGACGTGTGCCTGTGCAGGGTGTGTGCGTTGTAATTACTTTACAACTCCTTCCCACTTGGTGTGAATTACAAACTGGTCTTTACTTGAGCTTTAATTTAAGTTGCACACTGAGAAATTAGTGTTGTTTTTTTCAATTTCACTGGTGGAATGTGTCTCGCAGGATGATTAGAAAAATGAGTTTTACTGAGAGTGTGTTTAGAAGGCTGAGAAGATTTAATTACACTGAGGAGTTATTTTGTAAAAATACATGTGAGGTTTTGTAATTCACTGTGGTGAAACAAGCTCCCAGCAGTTTGGGGAAATGAGCCTGGTGAAGATTCAGATTTGGTTTGTGGATGTGGTTCTGCTTTCACAACAAAGAGTTTGAATTTCAGGTGGGCGACTGCATCTTTGTTTTCATTTGTTTATTATTACTTTAATCGGGCAGTGTGTTTCTAAATGGTAACTTAAAACATATGGGAGTTATGACTTGTTCCAAAGGCAGGAAATATGAGATGTTTCCAACCTCGCAGAGCTCCACATAATCCATGAAAACAAAGACAATCCAACACTCCTGTCTGGTTATTTTGTTGGTGTAACTGTAAGTCTAAATTGTGTTATTTTAAACATTAAACAATTCTGTATTTGTTCATTTTCTTGATGCAAGGGACCAGTAAACGTGTCTGTTTCCATAGCTGATGATCTACCTGATTGTAGAGTAACCATGCAACTAAATCCTTTGACTTTAAGTCAAACATGTTCACATCATCAGACCATGTTTCCTCATTCAGTATATTGACTTTAAGTCAAACATGTTCACATCACCAGACCATGTTTCCTCATTCAGTACTTTACATAAGGAACAATTTGCGCTGAGGATCATGAATACGACATTGTAAACTGGTTTGAAAAATTTACATCTCTTTAGTGAGTCAGTGGCACAAGGTGTATTCACAGGTATGTTGAAAATTCAGAAATCTTGCAACAGTGGCAAACCTCAGCCTCCTAGAGGAGAATACTGCAGCACTGTTTGCACTCACACTTCCTCTGGCTGCAGTGGTCTTCTTGCAACAACAACCAAGTGACAACAATGTAAAAAACAGGTGAAAATGAGTTGAAACCGTTTTGAACCCCTGAAAAAGTCTTGGTATTTTCCAGTGGAACTGTAACGTGTATGACGTTGTTGAGTCTCTGCAGCCTTGTGCACAGTAATAATTACCCTCCACTCTTCCTGGTATCATTTACAGAAGAAACCCAAACGTCTCCACTGAGACCTGCACATGCCAACATCAGTCCTGTTAGAGCCTCATTACGCTGCTCTCTTTCACTCTGGTGCACTTAGCTCTCACGCCACACACGCACATACACGTGCACAGGCACTCACATTCAGTTCAGTCCTGTATATGGGAGCTATTAAGCAGCACTTAAGTCGGGCTTTACCCTTATCATCGCAGCATGGAGCCAAACTGTACCCGACATGGCTGAACAGAAGATAAAGGCTGTGCTGTGACGTAGAAACGAGATTGATGGTCCTTCACAGAAAGTGTGTTTAAGATCAGTTCATGGCATAGATACAGTCTTGGGATGATTCGGCAGATAGAAAAATGGAAAATTGTCCAGAATAAGCTGTTACCTCGGCAGAAGTTCAAACTTATTGTTTTCAACAAAAATGAAGATAGAGCTCAACAGCAACAACAACAACAGAGCTGCACCAACAAACACTTCAGGGCTGTTTAGTTTAAAAAGGAAACCAGACTTTCCTAGGTTCAGTGTTTTCCTTTTGCTTTGACTTGTTAGCTGTGTTAGCATTGTGTGGTTCTGGGGCACAGTGGGATTTAAAATAGATGCTGCAGGGAATGCTCCCTTGTGTTAAACACATTTTTCACATTTAGATTTGTTACTGTATCTTTTTCTACATTACTACACTGTCAATCTGCAACAAAGCAGGTTTCCTAACAAACTCCCAGTTCAGATCAGACTCTCGATGGTGAAGCCTGCATGTGGCAAGAAAAACACATCGATGATGTGATGATATGAATGATAGATGATGAACTTTTTCCTTGTTCTACGTTACAGTGAATTATTCTGTGGTTTTTGTTTTCTTTACATCCAGAAGTGTGTTTTCATATTTGCGGCTTCGCATACTGTAACTTTGTGTTGAACTAAAGTGAAAGTGAGAGGTGGCTGCCAGGCTGGGGGGGATAGTGGAAGGGAAGGTAAACTGAGTGAGTGTTCACAGGCAGACTGAAGCAGAGCAGAAAGTAACAGAAACAGAAGAGAGGAGGCAGGAGGAGTGGGTTCTTGTTTTTTTTACATTACCCACTCACTCTGCAGCAAAACAAAATGCTTCTCTTCTGACACATATGAGGTTTTAGGCTACTCTAGGTTTAAAGCTGAGATATAACTTAATATTGATTGACTGTTGGTATCCACTCAATAATCTCTGGGGATTTTAATGCTTCTGTCTCATCCCTTCCGGCCTGTAGGTGGCGCTGGTCTTCCCAAACAATGACCCTGCTGCTTTCATGACAGCTTTCTACGGCTGCCTGCTGGCTGAGGTCGTCCCTGTGCCAATAGAAGTACCACTGACCAGAAAGGTACGTGTGCATGATGTAGTAGCTCAACCAGGACTTATTAAATTGGCCATTTATCTAATTCAATTCTGAATGACAGCTATTTATTAGAAAACATTTCTAGTGGCCACAAAGTGTGAATGGTTATGTTGCAACATTGTGTGGTACTTGCTTTGTTTAATTTAATGTTCTGTTACCCTCATGTACACTTGCTTTGTTTAATTTAATGTTCTGTTCCCCTGTACGTAAAAGGAGAGGGACAAAACACCCTTCATTTTAATACAGTAGTTCAATAAAAGTAAAATTGGCATTAGCATATGATTATGTAAGAAGTGTAATGTTTTACACATGGACTATGTTTGTAACAACAGCACAGGTTTGTCACTCATCTGTATCAAGTCAGAGACGAGGTGTTAGTAGCCTAAAACCTCAGACTTTGCCGTGAAAGGTCCTGTGCTCTGCAGGATGTCACAGCTCCTGGACTGGAAGTTGTATTTTTTATGAGGTTGTAGTTCTCTGCAAACTCAGACTGGTAAAGAAAGGAAGCAGTAGTCAGTTTGTTCAAGTGAAACGTTTCTCAACAGTCAGGTTTTACATTTGTTCTTGGTTTGATGTGACTGTAATGAACTATGTTTTGCTTGTACTTTGGTATACACTTGGAGTTGTGGCTTCCAAAGGACCAGCAGCTCACAGTCGATCCATGCAGAAAGAAACAGAGATTGATGGACAGCTAAGAAACAGGGGATCTCGTGTAGTCACTGAAGTTTTAGTTTTGTTTTCTTTTTGTCCAAACTGCGTTACCGAGTAGAAAACTGGGGGTCCTCTGTCTTCTGTTGTGGTCAAAAAGGCCGGCTGTTTATCTTAATATAACTCCTAATGTTTCCATAACGGAAACGGTGGATGGAAATGCACATTAGGTCACTTTGTTTATGTTTTGAAATTTGGTTAAAGTTCATGTTAAATTTGGAAACATGACTCTTGAACCTCACGGTTAAAGTTCATGTTAAATTTGGAAACGTGACTCTTGAACCTCACTGATGACACAGGCCAGCAACATGCTTTCTGTGCCATTATTGCATAATGAAAGTGTTTTTGGGCCTAGAGATTTGGATGATTTGTACTGAAGTGAACCTTGGCAGTTGTTGCTGACTTGTGGTTTTATGTTGATAGCTTTGAATTCTTTCTTTCAAAGAACCAGCAGGCAGCCGTAGAAAGCTGTCATGAAAGCAGCAGGGTCATTGTTTGGGAAGACCAGCGCCACCTACAGGACAGAAGGGATGGCACAGCTGTTCATCCTCTTTCTGTCCAAGCCTTGCAGTTGTTAAACCCTAGACACCACTAGACTACCCTTGCTAAGCAAGACCAAGAAACAATTACTGATTGATCAGAATCTAATTCAGAAGATTAACCATGTGTGATCTCTGTGTCACCGCAGGATGCCGGCAGTCAGCAGATTGGGTTTCTGTTGGGGAGCTGCGGGGTGACAGTGGCTCTGACCAGCGATGCCTGCCACAAAGGCCTTCCCAAGAGTCCCACTGGAGAGATCCAACAGTTCAAAGGTCCCGCATGAACACACACACAGTGCCACCTACATCTGTGCTGGCAGAGAGTGTGTTCATGGAAACACACACACACACACACAGAAGCTCTGTGTTCATCATATAGACACTAGTGTTAAATATGAAGAACCTAGATCTCAGTATTAGGGGAATACTAGTCTATTTCTGCTCGCTTTCCTTTGGAAAAAATCCCAATGGGGAACTGGAATATTTAGCATGTTTGCACCTGTGTACTGGTGAACTAATACATAAACACCTCCAACCTTCTTTTCACTATCAGGCAGCCACCATAGCTGTTCAAATTATAACAGAAAGGTAAGTGATCAGCTTTTCAGCTGCAACCATCTTTTTTTGTTTTCACTATCAAATTGCAGCATAGTAGCAAAAAAGTATCAACAAAGATGATGAAGACAGTGCAGAAAGTTGTGTGAAAGACCAGATCTTGAGTGCATAACTGCATGTGACAGATCCAGGAAGTTCTCTGAACTGCACATCCAAGAACAATGACACAGTGTCATGAACCATCGAAACAGCACACTGACACGTCTGCATGATTTTCATTCACTGCCCCTGCATGCAGTGATAACATCAGGTCAAGTTTATAATGGTCATATGTTCCCATTTAATCCCTCATATGTATTTAAATTGAGGATCTGCTGAATTGCACTATTAATCGATGTTTATGAAAGATTTAAAAAATGTAGAAACTAGACAGCACTCGGAGCACAAACCACCACCAAGGCAGCTAGCTGTCCCCATAATGCCATTACACCTAAACACAACATTCCCATGAGAGTTAATAAGATTCCTTGATAATGAAAACCTACAGCTGGCATTTGGAATCTCATTGATATCGTTAGTAGCTTGGAAGTTATTCAAGAAAGGCTTATAATTGCCACAAAACAATGGAGCAGATTGAGTGCAGTTACAAGCCCATGAACATGCCTGTGCACACATGTGAACGTGCACACAGCCAGAGCTCAGGGATCAGAGCGTGGCCAAGTTTCTTGTGTCAGTGTCTCAGCAGGATGAATGGGAGGACTGATGTCAGTAGGCGGCTGGCTGAGTGATGGGCAGCGGGATGAAAGAGAGACACAGAGGACAGAGGGAGAGTGGGTGAAGCGGTACTGCAGATCGATAGGGAAACAAGTGACACGACAGAGGGGAGGAAGAAAACTGGTAGAAGAGTGATGGAGTCAGAACAGAGAGACATTAGCGGTGAATAGAGAGAGAGAGAGAGAGAATCTCCTGGCCATTAATAACTGTACTGTACTGTTTGCTTTTCAGTAATGGATGTATAAATAGCAACATGATGCCCCCGGAGTCACTGCTTCTCACTCATCATGGGCTTAGTGTGCACGTGTGTGCGCATGCACGTGCCTCATTTATGTGGAGTGCTCCTATTATTGATCAGAAGGCTTTAACCTCCTCTCATTCACATTGCTGATCGTTTCTTCTGTCTCGCTGCCCGGCAGGAAGAGCAGCGTTAATTTGTACATTAGCAGCCCTCACATACTCAGTTTTACATTCAATCATGCTCTGCCATCTAAACACTCAGCACCGAGTAGCATATTGTCATAATAATAATAATTTGTATGTATACTGGTAGAATGGAACGACATGTAGGTGCTCCACAGTTAGCGTGTTCTTACTGAGTATACCTGTGAGAGGTGGGACGGGCGCCCTGCCCTGCTGGTGTCCAGCATCATTCTCTTTTCTGAGTCACATATTAATAGCATCTTACAAATGGTGCCATGCATGCAGTCGCCTTTGACTTGTTGTTAACTTATTACATACAATTACATATTACGTTATTGTGTCAAATGTAACTGTAGCCACTTTTAAACACAATTTCTGTAATACTTTCAACTGGGGTGTCCCATGGATGGATTTTGAGATGAAGGCCCCCCCCACCTCCTACAATGGAGGATGACCCCCAGACTGAAGGAGACTCTTTGTGTCTCTCTTTAGTTGTTTTGCATCTTTGTGGTTGATGATTTTACATGTATAGTTAGTTGTGGCCATTTTGCATATCTTTTTTATGTTGCTTCTCGTTTTAGCCATTTTGTGTCTCATTGTGGTTACTTGGGTCTGTTTTGCTGTCTGTGAAGTAGTTTCATGTTCCTGTAGTCATTTTGCACCTCTTTGTAGCTGTTTTTTATTTTATTGTACTCACTTTTCTGTCCCTTTGTATTTGTTTCATTGACTCTCCAGCAAGGAATGTTAACAGTCTCTTCATACAGATGCTTTGGTGCAGGGACCCCTGAGCCTGTGCTGTTTGTGCCCGTTCATTAATCTATCTGTGGAGGGTCCACATGTCACAGGACATGACGCCGACACCAGATTGCCCTCAAATATAAAGTGTCACCAGATGTAATGTCTGTAAAACTATTAAATGTGGACCTATAGTAAATGGACTAAAAACTTTTTTTTTTAATCAAGCATCAAAAGATTTTGTCCCACAAACTGTTATCATTGCTTTTTCTCTGTATACTCTAGGACTATGAGCTATGAAATGCAGTGTGCATACACTTCAGACTCTAAACAACCAGTGGGCAATAAATAAGATGCCCCGTTCCACCTCCAATTAATTTGTCTGTAAAAGAAGGACTATTGACAGCTGGTGTATATTTTAAAGGAGCGTTTTATTCCCAAGAGAGCCGTCTTTGGTTAAGTGGTGTTTACCGCTCTCCTGAAGACAATCAGCTATGGCAGGTGCCAGAGGTGGCCTCCAAGCCCCTGTTAAATAACTGCCAAAGCACTGTATTCATTATGAATTCATATTGATTTCGGCAGAATGCACAAGCACTGTTTGTCCACAACTCACTGCAAGTCAGAACCTAATGGAAAGCTGATTTTGTTACAATCAGTGGCATAGCACAGAAATCTGGGCCCTGCACATACTGTCTGTAGCCACAGCTGCCCCCCTTTCCACTTTTAAAACATCCGTCATCCCGCTTGTATAAATAACCGAATCGAGAAGTAAACACATACACCTGTAGTTGTTATAGAGTAATCCATAATGTACAGTATGTAATGCTTATGTTGCTTTTAAGAAAGTCTGCAGCCACTTTTCTCAGCATACTCGAGGTACTTTCCCTCTGAGGTTTGTTTAATATTTCTCTCACCATTTTTAGGCCTTTATAGCTCAAGTGACAGACAAAGGTTTTTCTGGCCCCTACTCTTGAGACAGGAGTACTGTGTTGCTGTATGTCATAATAAAACCCCCAGATAAAACTTCTCTGGAGTCAGGTTTTATTTGCAGAATTACAGTGAGGGAGTTTTCAAAAAGTGCAGCCCAGACTTTCACACCAGAGAAGAAGCAAACTTGAAACAATTCAAATATATACGACGGATTAATGAGTTCCTGCTGTCACTTTGAACCAGCTCCTAATACAGGCACTGATATCAAATGACACTGCTACATATCATCCTGTTAACAGTAGTGTTTGTGAACACAATAGTAAATTGGTCTTATTTCAGAAGTCTTGTGGAACCCTATGCATTACAAGCATCTTACATATTAAATAAACTGCATTATACTTACATGAGGAGAAGCTGTTATATTGTTTTAGAAAGAAGAAACAGTAGTTAAACTACTAGACAGTAGTTTACGTATAATGCTAAACATGTCAAACTTTTAATTCCATTTTTTACCATTTTGCTGTGTTGAGTCTGGGAGAAAACCAGCAAATGTGATCACACACTCGATTCTAAATCCAGTCCCAGTCGTCATACTGGTCACACACCTGGTTCCAGTCCAGTCTAAATGAGGTTCAACAGGAGGGAAAGTCCAGTCTATAAACCTTGAAATATGACTGAATGCAGCCTTAGCAAGCTTCAGTTTCCTTACCCATAATCCTTTCACCAGAGGATGAGAGCTGGAGCAGAGACCTTTTCCAGACATCGGTGACATTAGTGGGTGTTTGTTTTGTGCCCCTGTGTGTCCAGGCTGGCCCAAGGTGCTGTGGATCGTCACCGAGTCCAAACACCTCTCCAAACCACCCCGCGACTGGTTCCCACATATCAAGGACGCCAACCAGGACAATGCCTACATCGAGGTAACACACACTCATGTAGCTCTCGTAATTACTGTCTCGTAAGTGAAAATCGGTGACGCCACCTGCCTTTTGATTAGAATTACGATTCACAGCTGAGTGTTTCTCCTTCGGCTGCCGGTCAACGCTACCGTCCCATCTGATTGATTTGAATGTACACAACTTCATTTGAAGTGGCTGAGCAGTAATTGTACCGGCAACAAGGGTGAATGGCTCCTTGATTTGGCGGGAATTGAAAAGGGTCCAGAAGAAAATGATGAAAGAAGAGAGGTGATTGAACAGCGACTGACCTTTTAGCTGCGTCCCAGGTGGTCGAGACAGATGACATTAGGAGGAGGCTCCTTTTATTTCTGTGGCTCAAAGAAATGTGTCCCGATTCATAAATGTAATAGTTGCCCATGATGTGCTTCATTTTGTTTTGCTAGCAGTGGTTTTGTCAGACAGGTGCCAGAGATTCTCATTGATTACTGTCACCTCCACAGAGCTCAGACCTCGTTTTGGTGTAGGACAACTCAGTTCATAAGTCGGTATTTCCACAGCAGAGTCAGGCCCCAAAAACATTTCAATATTATTCCATGTCTGGAGATGAGTTAATGCTGATTGACAGTGAGTATTCTGACTCTGATACCACTTGTATTGTTTTATAAGTCACTTGTTTGAAACTATACAGTTAGAAAAAGAAGATATTGTGCTTTACCAGGTCAAAAGTACCTGGGGTACTGTGCAGAGATCTATGGTAAAATGTTTTTAACTGAAAAAGTAACAAATGATTTGAAGTCAACATAGCAGCACACACCTGCTGAGTACTTGCTCTGTGTGTGTGTGTGTGTGTGTGTGTGTGTGTGTGTGTCCAGTACAAGACGTGTAAGGACGGCAGCGTCCTGGGCGTGACGGTGATGAGGGTGGCCATGCTCGCCCACTGCCAGGCCCTCACACAGTCCTGCTCATACACAGAAGGTAGCACACACATTTACACTTCGTCGTGTCCTTTCACCTCAGACAGCTGTCACAGCTGGGCAGTGCTGTTTAAAACACAGGCAGTTTAACTGTAGAATTGAAAACGGTGTGTTACTTCTCACTGAACATGATGTTAAGGTTGATCTCTCTGTCTTGTCTTCCAGCCGAGACCATAGTGAATGTATTAGACTTCAAGAAGGATGTCGGACTGTGGCACGCTGTCCTGACTGTAAGAAACCCTTTCACTGTCTTTTTGAATTATTTCAAACGATGAATAAAGCTGTGATGGCTAAATTAAGCTGTTTATCAATAAACAGAAAATCATTTTTACTTTGTCAGCAAAACTATTTGGCCAGTGGCTTCTGCATGTTCCACTTTTACTTAAAAAAAAATCTCTTATTTTCTCTCTTGTGTTTGTCAGTGTGTGATGAACATGATGCATGTCATCAGTATCCCCTACGCCCTCATGAAGGTCAACCCTCTGTCCTGGATTCAGAAAGTCTGCCAATACAAAGGTAACGCAACCACCCAGTGCGATCCAGTACAACAAACCTGCAGCCTCCAGCTTGAGCTCAGAGTTGGCCCAGGGTTGTGTATCAGGTCTTATTACAGAGGGGTTTGTGTTTGTCTGTGAAATGTGAAGTAACTGTTGAACAGAAATCAAACAGTCTGTTTGGCTGAGTTACTAAAGGAGCAGCTCTTCGGTGATCTCAGTGTTTTGGACAGACCATGGTGTGTGTCGTACCCCATCCGAGCCCGTCACTGACAGCAGCACTGTTACATCATTATTTTAGGTTCTTGTTACATTACTGCTTTTTATTTCGTTGAAAACCTTATTGGCATTTGATAAGTTGGACCACTTAAACATATATGAAATCCACTGGGCGGTTGATTTTATTATTTTCAGCTCTGCTGTTACTTAATGTGTCATGTGTATAAGGTTGTGTTTTTTTGTGTGTAGCCAAGGTGGCGTGTGTGAAGTCGCGGGACATGCACTGGGCTCTGGTGGCCCATCGGGACCAGCGGGACATCAACCTGACCTCCATGCGCATGCTGTTGGTGGCTGATGGTTCAAATCCCTGTAAGAGCACACACTGTACTTGTGGCTTGTCCTGAGGGTCATGAAGTCATTCGTAACAAACACGTTCCATTCTCTGAGCAACATGAATATCTAATTGTTCCAACCGGAAAGGAAGTCTGAGCCGGTTTCTTCTGTATGTTATCCTTTGTCTTTGTATTGGTAATCTAATGCTGTAATAATTATCTAATGCTGTAAGTAATAATTACTTTTCAGCAAATAACACAAATAGCACATGGCCTGATCAATGAATCAGGGTCCTGTGCTTTTCATAACACATGAATAAATGTCTAGCAACAGAAGTAGAAATGCTTTAACTGCACTTACCAACTTAAAACCACCAATACTTTATTTTCATCAGTTTGTATTTTTTGAGAAAATCCGAATTACATATTGTCACCTGTTAAGCAAAGTATAGAATATTTTTTAATCCAAAAACATGTTGAGGTGATAGAGTGAGCCTGTAAATGTCCTGAGAGGCAAAACCCAGGGCAATAAAAGTCCAGTAGGCTCTAGTTACTGCTCATAAAGCTTTTTCCAGTGAGTGCGTGACAATAATTGAGGCAGTTTTGATGTCAACAGATATCAACATTACTATCCTCTCGTTTGTCATTTGTAATATGGCAGCTGAACAGTCAGATATTACAGTGAGCAGATGCGTCGGTGAGGAAATCAAACAGTGTAAGCGTGTGAATTACTCATAAGTAAACCCACCCCTGGTGCCTGATGGTTCATGTTCTGATCATTTGGAGAAACCCACAAAGTGTGTTCATTAAAACTTCGATTCCAGTTACACTCCTAAAAAGATGAGTAGCTCTAATGAGCTGCACATAAACCGACCCTGTGTTTCTGACTGTCTCTCTCTCAGGGTCGATCTCGTCCTGTGACGCCTTCCTCAACGTCTTCCAGACTAAAGGTTTGAGACCAGAGGTCATCTGTCCCTGCGCCAGCTCCCCAGAGGCACTGACGGTAGCCATAAGAAGGTACACGCACACACACATCTGAGGCCAGTTCTCCACATGTACAAGTCTTTTGAAAAACGTGGCTTTTTAGTCTTGTGTGCACGTGTTTAACATCACATGACTCCCTGGAATTAGCTCATCATACAGCACCTTCAGGTGTATTAAGGTAAAATATAGCAAACCAAGATTGATCTATGTATTCCAGAGACGTGGCTTTTCAAACATGTCCACAGTTTTCACATTTGTCCTCACTTTACCAAAAATGTGCACACTTTTCAATAATGTCCTTATTTCCTAAACCTTTTTATACTTTCCAGACATGTTTTTGTTTTTTTTAAATGTCCACAGTTTCTTCTCTCTTTCCCCCAGCAGGCTTCATGTTCCAAAACTACACTCTTCCCTCATTTTCCAGAACTGTCCTTAATTCCTTAAGAATGCACTCTTGTTCCAGAGCTGTTCTCACTTCTCCCAAAATATGTTCACACTTTACACATTTCTCCTCATGTTCCAGATGTTCTGAGAATTTTAAAAAGTTGTCCCATTTTTCCAAGAAATATCCTCACTCTCAGGATCTAAAACTTGTTCTTAAAAAGATAACGATATAAGAGCACACGGTCATAATAACAGCAGGCGCGCTCCTACGGTATGTGGTGAACTGATTGGCTGTCTCCTGCTCTGTCCTGCAGGCCGGTGGAGGAGGGCAGCACCCCCCCTGGGCGTGGCGTTTTGTCCATGCAGGGTCTGAGTCACGGCGTGATCCGGGTCGACTCGGAGGAGAAGCTGTCGGTCCTCACTCTACAGGATGTTGGTGCCGTCATGCCCGGAGGTGAGACGGGCCTGATCCGTCTCGCTGCTCCCACTCTGTGCAGGCGGAGGCCCTAAGTGTTTTTATTTTTGGTGGAGTTTCTAATTTTCCTCCAGAGCTTTTTCACAGGAAGGTGTTGTACTTTTTACTATTAATCTGACAGCTGCAGTTTGTTGAGATTCAGTGTAAGATAAAAGGAGGAAACGCTGTTGAGTAACACTGAAGAGCACAGCCTTGTTTCTGCACAGTAAGGTCTTTGTATCACTGCTTCTCTCTGTTCTGTCATCTTTCCTTCTTTCCTTTCTTCCCAACTTTCTATTGTACTTTGTTTTCTTCTTTAACTGATCTGAAAATCGTCCAAAGTGGAGGTGCAAGGTTGTTGTGTATTGTAGATGCTACAATATAATTTTTTTTTTACTTAATAATTTGATATTCAGAGAAACAGCCTTTTACAAGGACTCCAATGAGAACAGTAGAGTGACAGATCTTCTGACTGGGAAGGCGTTAGACTTTAACCTTCCCTGGTGTAATTTTGTCTGTTCCTCCGCTTGTAGCTGTGATGTGTGTGGTGAAGCCAGAAGGCGTCCCTCAGCTCTGTAGAACCGATGAGATCGGTGAATTGTGTGTTAGTACTGTCGCCACCGGGACCTCCTACTACGGCCTGGCCGGCATGACCAAGAACACCTTCGAGGTGAGAGTGTGAATGCTTTTGTTAATGAAACTTTTTTCCTGTCTTTCATTTGTAGGGTTTTATTTACCAACCATGTCTCTCCTTCCATCTTTGTTAAAATGCTTAAAACAGGTCTTCCCGGTGTCCAACAACGGAGCTACCATCAGTGAGTTTCCCTTCTCCAGGACCAGCCTGCTGGGTTTCATCGGACCTGCAGGTCTGATCTTTGTGGCAGGGAAGATGGACGGTTTGATGGTGGTGGGGGGGCGTCGGCACAACGCTGACGACATTGTCGCCACGGCGCTCGCTGTAGAACCCATGAAGTTTGTCTACAGGGGCAGGTATGTGTTCACAGCAGCGTCAGTCCTCGGCATCAGTTTCTGCTCTTTACCTGTCAGTCAAACACTGGAGGTGGGATGGCGAGGTATTTTTCTGTTGATAACGTTTAAGTTTCTCTTGATGGTGTTTTTTTTATGCAGCTTGTACTGAACTACGAGTACACAGTGTGTTTTGCGAAGTATTACTTCTAAGTATTAAAAGAAAAACCATTAATTTTATAGATTAGCTGTTTCAGATCTTTACATTATTACATTATATTAATTAATTGATAATACTATTACATCTGTGGGTAAACGGCATTTACCTGTTGTGGCTGGGTGTGGTGGAGTTTCTGTTTAACTGCTTTCTGTAAAGTACTGTTGGGTAATTTATTAAACCGTGCATCAGGTTTTACCAAAGCATAATGATTTTTATGTAAAATATTCATCTGCAAAGCAGATATAGGTCTTAGGCATACCAAACTAAAACTAAAGCAATCAATACAACGATCCTTCAGCAAATCCTCCGTGTATAAAGGTGATCAGGAGTAATTGTTAAAGCTGTCAGTCTACCATGGAGCACGCTGATTGTGTTTATGCGTGTGTGTGTATGTGTTGCAGGATAGCGGTGTTCTCCATCACGGTGCTTCACGACGAGAGGATCGTGGTCGTGGCTGAGCAGCGGCCGGACTCCACCGAGGAAGACAGCTTCCAGTGGATGAGCCGAGTTCTGCAGGTAAACAACTATTAAAACACATCAGTGAACTTGGTCGCATGTTTCTTCATGTGTGGAAACACACACACTGTAGTTTAGTTTGACCCAACAAGTACATAATCCTCCTGTCAGAGAAATGTGAAGCTGAAGCTGTTTCAGGAAGTGAGCTTTTGGTTAAAAATGAAACATTATGTTTTGACCTGCTTTTAAAGATTTACATCTTCAGTAGGAACCAGTATGTTTAACTTTGAAACAGTAGAAAAACAGTGTTTGTTCGTTGGTTTTGGTGTTTTTGTGAGATTTGTTGACAAAAAGAAAACTGTTAAATAACACCTGACATATCCTGTAGCACAAACCAGCTCAGTAAAACCGTCCCACTGAGGACACACTCCAGACCAGCAGGCTTTAACAGAGCCCTTCATAAAGAGACAAAGCCGCTCACACATTTCTGTCTCTTTCACTCTGTCAGACTCACACATACTACACACACTTACACTATATGACCCTGTGCTGTAAATTTATCCTGTGCATGAACAGATACAATCTGAGTTTAAACTCCAGATCTCCATAGGCCACAGTGGAGACTGCGGTGAAGCTCTAAAAGCTGCCTGCAGTTTTATAGCTCCAATAAAACCAAATCTCTCTGCTTATTCACCATCACAGATGCTGCCAGCTTGTTTTCCCATTTATCTGGGCATTAGAAACACACTCAGTGTTTTCAGTAGAGGCTGAGGTGACGGGATGTGCTGTGACATTATGTGCGGGCACTTATCTTATTTCTTATCTTATTTCTACATCTTATCAGTCAAGTTGAGACAGAACTGTGCCTGAAAAAGCACTTGTTCTAACACATTTCACCTTTCCAGGCGATAGATGGGATCCACCAGGTGGGGGTGTACTGCCTGGCTCTGGTGCCCTCCAACACTCTTCCCAAGACTCCCCTGGGTGGCATCCACCTGTCAGAGACCAAGCAGCTCTTCCTGGAGGGGGCGCTGCACCCCTGCAACGTGCTCATGTGTCCACACACCTGTGTCACCAACCTGCCCAAACCCCGGCAGAAACAGCCAGGTACCGTGTGAATGTGCCAGTTGGATTCAGCTGCAGGCAAACATCACACCACAGGTGTCGGTTACCCTGCATCATTTCCTCATGTCTTCCTCCTCCTTCCTTCCTCAGAGATCGGTCCTGCGTCCGTGATGGTCGGGAATCTGGTGTCAGGGAAGAGGATCGCCCAGGCCAGCGGCAGGGATCTGGGGCAGATCGAAGACAATGACCAGGCAAGGAAGGTGTGTGTGAGCGGGGGCCTGCTGGTTTTCTCCATCAACATCATGTGCGCACACACACACATGACGAGGCCTGTGGCTCCATTGCTTCATGGTTCATTCCACTGTCACATTTGTCATTTGTCTTTTATCATTTCTGATTGATTGTCACTGACTTTATATCCGTCATCATCCGGCAGTTTTAAATGTCGCTTTGGCTCATTACCTTTTTCCTGGAAGACCAAGCCCAATCTTCACAAAGAACAAAAGCCTCTCCCAGGTTTTAGACGCGTTCTTTACGTTCAGTTTGTAAAGTGGCCTTCACTACAGTGTCACTTAAAGAAGAGAAAGGGAAGTCCGGTGTCGGTAGGTGAAACACTGGAGTGTATTTGTGGCAGGACAGAGCCAAAGAACCAGAGTGACAATCAGAAAGAGAGGTCATGAACAGAGCGGGTGGGCATGAGAGGATGGGAATACAGAGATAACTCAGAATAGAGAGAAAACAAAGAATAATTGAAGTGGAGAGATGACAGAAAGTGAGCCCGCCATGATCGAGAGCGACAGGCGGCGCGTGTCACTGACACGGCTGATTTTCCTTCCTTGTCTCATGCTGAAAATGTCATTGGTTGTCGTGTCGGGCAGTCGGCGGCTGCGCATACTGTAGACCCTAATGAGAAGAGACAGGCCACAAATAATAACATCCAGCACCTCCACCGCAGCAGTCTGTGTCTTTATCAGCTCAGGCTGCCAGGCAAACACATAAACTTTGTGTTTTGCCATGTTTCCAAAACTCCCTCCAACTTCACAAAATTCAGTTTGGACACATCTCTAGTTTTGTACTGACTGCATGTAAAGTCAAAGCAAACATTTCTGAACCGAAAGCTCTCCTTGTCTGCTGAAGACTGTTGGTTTCTCTTACTTTCCAGCACTGCTGTCATGATTTAAAGTCTGCTGTTGAGCTTATTTCACTGCTTCTGCCACTGGGCTTAATGACAGTACCGCTGGCATATGGGTAGTATTCGCTTCTGAGGATGCACACAGTCAACAGCCAAGTAAAGGGTGGCCACCATGGGCATGCACGTGCACAGCTAAAACACTGGACACAAAAGTATTAGGATGTATGTGACCAGTATCATATGCAGCACCTTTTTCCTGCTGCTGATTTCAATGGACAACAAACAATACATGTGGTGTCACTGTGTCAGGCAGCACCTGAAATAAATGGCATCATCACTTGCTCACCGCTGGGACCTGTGGTAGTTAGGTGGTGATGGATGGATGTGGCCTCATTTTTGGATAAGAAAAATCAAATAAGCAATAACGTTGCTGAAGAGAGACCTGTCAAAACAAACCACACGTCTGTGGTCGCTTTCATTAAGTCTGAGCTGCGTTGACAATCAAACCAGTAAGATGCGGCGTGCAGGGCATGATGTTTATTAGATGGTTTTAATATAGTTTGTCTGAAAACACCAAATTCACCTTATACAGCTAAGATGTTTAATTGTGTTTCTAAAAATGTCTAGAAAATATGCAAGAACGTGACTCTGGAGTCCTCAGTTGTAGCTTCATCCCTGGTGGCATGTTATATCTGAATACCACAGCTGTTTGGTGAGACATAAACCTGCAGACTGGTCTGGAGGGAGCCTCAGTGTCACTAGAGTGGAGGCTCCATAGCTGCAGACCAGAATGTGACAGATCTGCTCTGCTAGTTTCAAATGAAATGAAACCAACAGGCCCGAGGCTTCGTGCCATAATTACAAGTCCAGATGATGATTGGCTCACACGCCACACTGCATCATTAGTGCACAGCGACATGTTTACTCTTCCTTGTTGGAATACAATTTAATTGACTTTGGCATCTCTCCTGAGCAGACGACAGAGGGTCAGTGTTCCTGCGAAATGAGTTTTTGATTTGGGAAGGATTGTGAGTTTGGATTCATTTCTCTGGCTGGCGAAGTCTGTTTTGTTATTTTCCACGGGGTGAGGAGGGTAAGCTTCATCCAGAATTAAATTTGTGATTTGGGGATTTTGTGTGAAAGTGCACGAGCTGCTGCTGATGAATCCCTGCGTGCCTCAGTGTCTGCTGAACGTTGATCAGGTTCAGAGAAGGAATCAGCGCTGCTTGCTATTACTGTGCTTCTATTGCCACAGCTGCTTCTGATCATCGTGTCCATTAGCTCATTCTTCAGCTATCTGTTCATTCATCCACCCATTTTTGCATAACTCCTCATTTCACCTCCTCCCCGTGAAAAACCAAGCCCTCTGTGTGAATGAGCTGCTCTCACTCTTCAATTGTTGCCGATGCTTCTCCAGTTGTTCCTCTGTTTATTGAAATGTTCTGCCTGTGTGTGTTGGTGTAATCCTATAGAGTGAAATGTGATTTACTTTGAATCTCTTCTCAGATTCCTCGTCTGATAACGTTTATTTATCCAGGGAAGGACAACTGAGCGCAGTGCTGCTGCACATTTGCCCTGTGCAACACTGGTCTGCCTCAGCAGTATGTATATACTGTCACCAGGAAGTAGCCTTATGTCCACCCTCTAAAGGATTCCTTTTGAGAGCTGCCATGTTTCACCAGTGCTCAACAATCATACAGAATGAGAATCCAGGTAGAGGAGGCAGAGGGACCAGTTTCTTCTTCAGAGTGCTGATGTGTTGCTTTAACTATTTCAGTGTGATCTTATCACACGAGGCGGTCGCTGTGTTTCAGTGAAGTGACCACCACATAATGACACTGGATACGACCAGGCTGCAGATGCCAGCGTGTCAGCACCAGCGCTTTGATAGAATTCTACTACAGGAGACCGATTTCTATCTGCAGCCTGAAATTTAACAAGGACACACACAAGCTGCGCACAGAGGTTCTTTGTGTTTTACATGCCAGACTGAGATAACACAGTTTTGTCTGCAGGCAGGTGGTTGTTTATTCTCTCGCTGGCTTCATTTGAGCTCTGGCGGTTTGAAGGGGGCCACAGCATCACCTACATACAACACAGAACACCTGCTCAGCTGTGATAATGTGTGAGATTGGATGGCTGAAGTCTGTCAGTAGACTCTGAAACCGGACGCTGCACTTGCTTTTAGTGAACACTGTTTGATTATCATATTTAATGTGTTGAATATTAATACCAAACTGTTTGGTTTCATCTGAGGTTTTCAATGATTGTCATGATTTTTCAGCATGCTCCAGGTTGAGGTGATCGGCGGCTAAAGGAAGCCACTGTGAGGCACTCTCATGGGGCTGCAGGG